CTAGCTATTCCAAATACGCAAAATAAGCCCAACTGCGCTTTAGAATAAGCCCTGCGTACAATTATAATTCAAGTGCACCTGACCAGTAGTGCATTAATGGAAGGTTGAGGCAGATAACGTAGGTGGGAATCCGCTCCGAGCATTTTTTTATTTTTATCTTCTTTCCTTTGGTCTTAATATAACACTTTTCACGATAGAAAACGATTAAAATCTATATCGGTGTAACGTTTAAAACAACTATGCTCAAACATATCGAAATGTTTACAAATAATAATTATAACAATTATGGCTTACAAGCGTGAGCTTAAAGGCTTATCAATGACAAAGAGATTTGTCAAAAAATTCCTTCTACTGCGGTACGAATTGTAATTGTATGAATCGATGAAATTCAAATTATTTTTTATTAACGTTTTCGAATATCGGTTTTCGGCGGCGCGAATGACGCGCGAATCGTTTAAATCTGTCCCCAACACAAATCCGTAAATGCGTAGCTGAACCTTTCGATCGGTAGAATGCGCGTGGAACACGGGGGTGAAAATTCAATCGAAAAATAAAGCACCGCCAAAACCGATCCGTTGAACTTTTTCGGAAATCCAACAAATCTAACCGTTTTACCGTACACGTGCTAGTATTGCATTAGATGGGCGCTAAGACATTAACGTATTTTCAACGGTATGCACCTACGGCATAAATGTCTTGCGTTTGCCATAGTGCCGTTACAGTACGTGCGAGTATCAGCTGAAAAACGTTTGATTTTCCTCCACACCCCCGAATCGATGCAAACGTATAAACATTGGACAATATACGTTTGACATGCATATCTTAGATCAGTACGAAAATATTTGACGACTTTCTTTTTCTTTTTCTGCTTTGTACGCATTACCGTAGGAATATTATGTGCACACAAGAGTAAAACAATATATACGAGTATATTTAATAGAGAATAATAAAATAAAAATTCACGCGGCAAGTACGAAACGATAATTTTACATTCCGAATGAGCGACAAATAATGCGTGTTCATTTTTTTTCCCCCGTTGATTTTTCGAGTATCACGTTTTAAGCAAATCAATGATTACTGCTCTGCGTTCAATCGTTATGTAGTACATTTGAAATTTAATGAATCAGATTGGACTTTTGGGTTACCTATCGGTGTAGGATTTCAAGGAAACAGCGAATAAATGAAAAAAGGATAAGACCGGCAAGATTAGAGCATGGCACAATATGCGCTTACGTTTTTAATGAAATCCATTACCGGTACGAATTTCTTTAGTCTTTCACACGTGCCGTACGGCAAAAACGACGAACTTTTTGTTCTATCATTACGGTCGATGGATTGGGACGATGAGAGTTCTGAAAACAAAATCAACATCGGCATAAAGTTTACTGGAGGTGTATCAGACCGAGATTTCAAATTATGCTAAACTTTTGTTTTAAACACGGAATACGGAACGTTCAAACATTTTTCTTGTATTGAAATTGAACTCAAGGAATATGATGATATAAATATAAAAAAGTAGTCTGATCGATCTCAAGTAGATCTCACGCCGATTTCGAATGAACTTTCAGAATCCTCAGCGCTTCAATACATTAACCATTATTGACGGTGAGTGGTTTTTAATGTATAGTACAAATGAAATACGAAGACACCGAATATCGGTGTGGAGTCGCTAAGCATTTTGTTCTGAATCGTTTTTTTTAAACGATACAATAATTTAATAAATTATCCATATTATACCATGGTTAAAATTTGAAAACGTTTACCATAAATCATTGATACCGATATACGGATATACGGCACGACAGGGGAGTGTCCGATTTGAAAATTATGATCGATTGTATTTATCTTATTCACAGTATTTTTTATTTCTTTTCTTGTAAAACGATGTGTATAATAATGAGATAACCCGCTTTCGTACAGTTACGTTTAAATCATTGTTAGGCATAAATGTTAATCGATCATACTGCAGTGATTAGTTCGCTGTGTAATAATGTCGTCACCGCCAGCCAATTATCCGATTGATTTCATGTTCCGCCGTTTGCGAACGAATAAATTCAAATCGATTTCACGTAATCAAATTTTTATCAACCTGTATGTCGAGTGTAGGCAATAAACCGTGTGTTTAACAATGCGTCGGAGGTCGATGAACATCAAGTATGCATGGAGAGTCATATAACTTAAAAAACTGAACGGTCTTGAGTGTATATTTTAATTAAACCCCTTGAGTATGTAACACGCAGCTTAACACAGATAACAATTTTCAACAAGTCTTGCACTTGTAATTTAATAACATTTGTACAAGAAATGCTGGTGTTGCAATTTGCTATGCAAACTTTCCACGGTTTCCGGGGAGTTTTCGGAAAGTTAACTCTTAAATATTATCCGAACAATTAAAATGTGAATGTACACGCAAAGATTAAATATGTAAAATTTATCAAAAAAATGTATATACTTTAATAAAAACAAATGGTTTTTAAACGAGTGACTTTTCCGCTTTGGAATTCTATTCGCAAAACAGCCATGTGCCATATTACAATAAAATATCCGCAAGTAACTCAAAGATTTATAATTCGTGTCGAATCTCCTTGTATAATCAACCATAAAAACTATCAATTTTTAGATTCTAAATGAAACGAAGAATCTCATAGTTTTACAATGATATTTATTTTGTTTTATTTTACTTTTTTACTTTTCCACACTTTTTCGGATAGAAATACTGGTACGAAAGTTTCATAAAGAAGGATTTTAGATTTAAAATCGATTTGCGGTTGTATTTTTTAATAGATAATTTTTCCAAAATGTAATAATTTTTCCTAGCGTGAGGAAAAATCATCGAAAAACCGAGTAGAAACGGTAAAAACGCGCTATAAACGAAACTTTCACTTTTCAGATTTTAGTTATTTAATCATAACTCTCCGAAAGTAATGCGGTTAGAAACTTAAACTTTTACTCAACATTAAAGACATTATTTTTAATATTTGACAATATTTTCAAAAAAAATTAAACACTTTTTGTTTAAATATAGAATATTGAAAGTTTATTAAAAATTCGGTCCATACAATCACAATGAATTGTTGGTTATTGTATTTGTATAGAACAACATGTTTTGAATATTCGCTTAAAAATATGTTTCCTTCCTCAGACAAGAAAATTTTAAACATGTTGATAGAAAAAAACGTATCGACAATATGGTAATATATTTAAACGGTATTTTTATACTGAAGTTTTACACGGAATGGTTTTACTAAAAAAAGTGATTTATCATTTCTTTAAAACTTAATGCACCCATAATCATTACTCGGTAAAGGACCGAAGGGAATGAAATAACGTACTTCTACCACTATTATCTTACCGGTTTCTTTAAACCGTGTGTAATACAGTTATCGCTAATTTTTCCGTTTTTATTTAATTTTTTTTTCAACAAGCAGCTTAAGTCAGGTTAATCGTACTGCATTATATGTTTGACATAATTTTCCTTGCCGCACATCATAATATGCTCACAGTTTTCAACCAGGTAAACGTTATCGTCGCGTATAATCCTGCACACTCCGTGACGTAGTTGCGCGTCGCGGCGTGGGCGTGAATATTCCACTTCCGAATACAATATATTTTAAAAGACATTGCAAGAGCGCGTGTATAATCCCCAGGAGAACATAAATTCAATCGAAACGTGTAATTTGTGCTGCTGCAGCGTTCAGACACATGTTATATAGATCTGCACTACACGGGCGTGGAAGAAGGCAAGGGAAAAATAAATGAAACATATTTTCTTTTCCGCAACGCATAGTGTATAAATCATGACCTTAGAGCAACACGCGCACTTTACACTTCGGAAGAAGTCGTTCGGGATTTTACAATAAGTTTTGGTTCGGAAAAAATCGAAAATTGTAGACGAAAAAAAAAAAGGTAATAAACAAGCTTACGAATTATTTCAAAGAGAAGTGGGGTCGTACGTTTGCACATATTTTTTTGTAAACGCATTGTACACGCGATTGCGTCGGATCCAATATTAATATTCTTCTTCTATTTAATGTTTCGTGCAACACGTACACACGTTCCCGTCTGTAGAACGGTTATCCGTACGAATCTGTTTTAATAGTGTCTGGAATAAATATATATACATTTTTTCCTATCCGAATCATCACTCGTGTTACGCGTTAGTTTTCTTCTATTATTTCAAAATAATTTCCTCTTGTCCCCGGACCGTTTTCTTTTTATTTTAAAACATATTATTTCAGTTTCTCGAAACAAAGTTTGACTCTTTTTTTGTTTTTTTTTTCCGCGCCCTATTTTTTGTGAATTATGGATCATATATTTTAGTGTATGACAACTGTCGCGTAACCCTCTTTTCCATTTCGTTTCGAAACGAACAGTGGGGGACAATATAACCGGCCTTATGCTACTACTACTGTTCGATTTCTCGTTTCGTAAGTTTGGCATTTCCAATTTAAAATTTCATATCGTTTTCCATTTGGCTATACTGAACCACCTTGTCAGAAATACTTTGTATTCATTGAAGGATCACTTTTATATTTTTATGCGAAAAACTATATAATGCACATACGCGCGCGCGGCGAATAGCAATCACATATATGAAAAAGTACCACATGAGGGAATTTCCAAAACATAAACACGAACCGTTCAAAGAACCTAGAAATTAAAATATGTTTACGCGGTTTGATTTACGATGTAAGTATGCGTTTTCGATTAAATTCATTTTTACATTGTACAGGGAGGGAAATAGAGAAAAGAAAAGTTTGCGCCCACATAATATTATGTACCTACCATGTACGTATTATATGGAAGTGCAATGCGCGGCGTACGAATATCGAATAACCTTGTTTTGTTTTGAGCATTACGATGACGATGATATTATGATACCTACGTATTATAGTATACCAACGCGTTTGAAAAAAGAAAAAAAAATGGTGCGAAAGCATTAATAAAACGTATATATTTCATCTGTATTTACAATAATAATAATAATAATAATATGTTCACATACGTATACTACAAGATATTTCTATAATTACAACAGTCGTTTTTACAATAAATTCGTTATTTAATATTATGGTACAGTGGTCGATAGCAAGGGCAAATCACCCGAGGAGTGGTTGGGAGCGGATTGTTTATGAAAGAAAAAGAAAAAAAACATTCGAAACCGAGAAATTTTCAAAAAATGTAGACGTTCCGATGTCGCAGTCACTCCCGAAAATTATTACTGGGAGAGGGGGTAAGATTTTCTTAGGAATATTTTACCCCTAGTACATTTATCCTAGGTTATCGTTATCCCTCGGTAAGAATATCCGAGAAAAATCATATCCCCTTCGCGGTACAATATTCCTAATAATTCTTACCGAGGGGTACAACTTTCCTAGGATAATTTTACTCCCTGAAAAAGTATAATTATCCGAGGATAATTATATCAGGGATAACAATAACCTAGGGTAATTGTACCAAGGGTAAAATATGCCTAGGAAAATCTTACCCCTCCCCCCTCGGTAATATTTTCCGGGGTTATGATTTGCCTGTTACACCGGCCGTGGTTGGGACGAATTGAACACACAACGAATCGATAACAATACCCCAAACTTATTGTGGTCTAAACCGCACACTATTTTTATTGTTAACTTTTTAATTGGTGGAAATCATATGAAGGTTTTGAAAAATGTAGGTAGATTTTAGCCAATCAAACTTTAAAAATGTTACAAACTTTACATTTTTAAATTTTTTTATATTTTAGAATACTCGTATATGCATTTTTTTTGTTTGAATTAATTATAAATTATTAAGTATACCTAACATAGGTTAGTATAACCTTTTCGGGGTCGAAATCAAAAGTGTGTGATTTTCGGATACAACAATTTTAAAAATTGTGTGTTTTTAACCTATTAAATGAGTGCGGTTTTAGGAATAAACGTTCCATATAACGGTACCGTCCTGACAACGTGTTCGATTTGCTCGAAATTACCCTCCTTTTCGTCCCGTACCCCAGTCTTGGTCCCCTCCCGATTCGCACATCGCACGCAGGACTCGATGCACGGGCTCCGGATCACCGAGAAACGTCCTGCACGGTGCCGGCCATCACCAGCAGCTCGATGGAGCACAGGTTGTACCCTCTGAGGATTTTGAAAAATCCGCATTCGCCCCAGCTGTTGTTCCACGAGTTCATCGCCAGCCAGTACTCGCCGTCCACTTCGTCGACGCCCCATCCGATCAGCTTCACGTACTGGTAGCCCACCATTCTGCCCGCGGTAGACTTGTAAACACCTGTTCGGAGGACAAAAACAAATAAACGGTTATGTTCAGCAAATTTATTGTCGATCCGGTTGGTCCCCGCACCACAGAAGCGCGGGGATTTACAAAAGTTTTTTTTTTTGTGAATTTTACTCCTAATCATTTTGTTCAAGTGAAATATAATATTAACTAGGCATGCCTACCTCTTTTGTAACTCAAAAAGTTTTCGTACACGTACATGAACGCCGTGACTGGACCGTAAGTGGCAATCTCCTGTTGGATTTGTTTGACGTTCGTCCACGATGTCATGTAAACGGAGGAAGCTGTACAAGAGAAAGAAAAAAAACCGTCACGAAAACTTCAACAGAACACTATTAACTATTCCGTCGTCTTTCGTTTGTGACTTTTTCAACATTTCACTTTACGCCTACTTACAAGTCGCGACGAACCCCTCGAAAAACGTTATCTCTACACTTGATTTTTTCATTTTACCGCGGTTTAAAGTTTCAGCCACCAACGTCACTTTGAAATTCAATTCCTATGTTACTGTACAATTTTATGAACTTTTTACCGGGAAAAATATACGAAAATTATCTCAACGTAAAAAAAAAATTTATATAAAATTATTACGTCAAGCGTCTCGTTTTCGATGGAATGTGAGAATAACTTTCTTTGTTTTCCCAAACCGAATTTCTATTATATTGCAATAAACTATTAATGTGTTTATTTTTTTTTCACGTGATATTTTAAGTCAAATGCTCAAATCTTATTATGTTGACTATGGCGCAAGATGGAACTCCACACCGCTGGATGGGTTACACGCGTGGTTTGAACGGTCTCTTTCAATACGATCTACGTGTCACGACGACAGCAATAATGATGATGATGATAAAAACCATAATAATATGAGCATATTTTAATAATATTATTAAATTACGGTTGTAAAGTTCGAAGGTGTGTATCCATACACTATATTTATCGCTAATCATTTGGAGGTAATCGCGCAAAGTCATACGTCGTTCAACTATATTACGACAATATTATAATGTTATAATGAAGAGAAGGAAAAAAATTACTCTTATGCAAATCTTCATTGTAATCGATCCCGTAGTTTTCGTTCGAACATTTCTCATCGCAAGTCGTCTGTACCATTAGAATTTCACTCGAACAGTTTTTTCCGCCGGTAACGCCGAAATGATCACAAGTACTCCTTTGATACGGTTGGCAGCCCTGCGGGGATAATATAAGCGTTTATAATAAGGGCTAGGATTTGTATGCAACAGCATGTTTTTATTGCCATGTCCAAATGGAGTTTTAGTGAGTAATGTACACAACTTATACTATTCTAATGAAAATGGTACTATTTTTATTTCCCGTGTTTTAGCATACACTGAGCTTTATGGATATTTTTACATATTTAATATGATTGTATTTCTTGTATTTGAGCCCGCAAAAATTAAACTGATTAAAGTATATGAATTGGTTATTTCGACAAACATAAATTTTATTATTATAAATACAATCCTATGATACAATATGCGATAAAAGATTGAATAGTTTGGCGGTGAAAGATAAAAACAAATAATAAAAGTATGTATGTATGAAATCCAAGATAAGATATCATTTGTCGAGTGTTAGTGTATTAAAAATAATCCTAAAGGATTAAAAACTCTACAATGAATAAATAATGTATTAAATGGTAAATCAAACGAAGACAATAAAAGTTGTAATTTAACATCAGGACGAATTCCTTTATTTAAATATAATTACATAGTGTGACGTTGAAAGGAGCTTCATCCAATATAAATAAATACTACGATCCAATCGGTAATCATTTATATTCGACAATTTAAAAAGATATGTGGTCGTAGCATATGTTACACACGTATTTCCACTATTGAATGTGAATTATACATTTTATTTCTAAAATAATAACTAATAAATATGTATGCGAAAAATAAATAAACAGTTTTAATTTTTAATCTTAACCGTATTATAATAAAACAATCAGCTAATCACTGATACATTTTAATAAAAAAATATTTTTTTTGTAACTATATTTTTGTGTGTACCTTGTAAAAATTAAAATGCATATTTTTGCATGTATTGGTAAATAAAATACATATTTTACAATTTTTTTGCATACAAACCTAGCCGTGGTTATAATATCATATTGTACCAGATCTATTAAGACAGGCAGTGCTTTATTTCTCATTACTTATACTTTACTACGGCTTTATAGCTGACCCGGTATTACATTGATTTCATAATAAAATATTGCACACCGTCATGGCCATGTATAATTGTTCACCTTTATAAAATATAAAAAATTGAAGATCTGTATACTCAATCTAGAGTTTGTCGTAGATAAATGCGAGAAAAAAATTATAGATCGATCGATTTCGTTTACACGTGTAACGTATAGATTTATTGTCAACGCATATGACCATTTTTATTCTTTAATACATGGCATCCGTTTTTTGACTAAAAAAAAAAAAAATTCGGACCAGACGAAAACACCTATCACCAACACAATAACTGTAATTATATAACTTATAGCATAAGGTTTTTTACTCCCCTCTATACATGTGACCAAGGTATTCCGACGACGCCCGAGAACCGGGTTCGGGAGTGGGATTGCGAAGCAATCGAACGGTTGCAACAGCATTAGAAAACGTTTATACTACGGTTATTATTTACTCGTTTACGGATATCTGGAGGGGGGCTTGAATGGCTTAGCTCCCCCTGATAACCACTCAAAGTCCTCATAAGTCCTCTCAAAAATGTTCGCCAAATTTTAAGAAACACTTTTATCAAATATACATCGTACATTTAAAATATATGTATATATTATATACTTATACAATAGCGATTAATACCGAATTTATAAAAATCACTACATAACAAATATTACTCACTTTGCCAGTTGCAACGAGAGAGTGAAATTTTTCAACTATGCGTAGAATCAAGACATGAGTGAGAACTTTTATGCTCCAAGATCGATTTACTAATCTATTCATTCTTTACATTAAAAAACACCTAACTAAAAATTTAGAAGTGAAGATATTTTAAATGAATTCTCAAAATCCTCCAGAATGCGGATTTTAAAATAAAATATCCATCACTGTTATTACCTAATCATTGATATATTAATTGTCTTTTGTGCATTGTATAATTTTATAATATCAATAAAAAATTGATTTTTTTGGATACAATAACATTTGAATATAATGTTTATAATTGATAAATAATTGAACCCTAAAGGGGGAGTGGGAGTAAAGTCCCCACCGTTTAGATTTATGTAAATAATTTAATCCCTCCCCCATACATTTTCAATGTATATCCGCTTATGTGTTTACCTCGTTGGAACCGTAGTGGCCGCCGGTCACTATCCCTTTGGTCATGGTGTGCTCCCAGGCCTTGAAAGCTGAACCGCCGCCGCAACCCGTGGACCGCTCGGCGCCGCACGACATCAGGTTCTGAGCGGACAAGTGTTTGGTGAACTTTCCGTCCGTTTTTATGCACAGTCTGTCCGTGAAACTCGAAGCCACCGCCACGGCCTGAAACGTGCGGTATCATTATTATACGTTAATATACGTCGGTAAATGTTACACGTCTAGTAGTGATATCGAGTTGAACCGCGAAAACGTCCATCGCGGTTTTAAAATAAACGCAAAACGTCACGCTCCGCAATAATCCGGATGTTTTCACCGGATCACTTTTCGACGACTCGATAGAATTTTTTCTACGGGTCCGAAAAGATACGATGTTCGTACCCAACTGGAGGCGCAGTTCCCTTGGTCCTTGATGTCACCGATGACGTCCGAGCATTTGACAAAGTGCTGACGCGCGTCGAATTCGGCCGGCAAATCGGTCACGTAATTCGAGTCCGCGGTTTTCCTGGCGTCCGGCAACCCGTCGTAATCGGTTCGCTGAACCGGTGTCCGAGCGCTGGACTTCTAAAAACAAAAACAAGCGGATTTGGAAAAAAAATCGAAGAGTGGTACGTGCAGATTGTAACCCGATCGCGCTGCACTTTGTTTCGATTTTTGTCTTGATGTGATGATACTTGTAAGTGTAAATAAAATATTTACCGACAACTTCAAGACTTTTCATGTGTCAATATTTCAGTCGGTGTAATTCTGGGAAAATTTTTTATATGTCAAACACTCGTTCAACACTAAGATAGCATAATATTTTGTTAAATCGTGCTCAATCGCAACACTTTGATCTGTTCGATAAAAAATCGTTTTCCAAAAAAAAAAAAAATCCCTCAACGCTTTTAACCACTCATCACTTCGTGTTGTTATTGTCATAATACGTACCTCGGATGATAGTTTGGCAAAAGCAGCGTTCGTTGTCACGGTCCAGGCGAAAGAACAAACTAAGATCCCGATGTGCACGAAAGAACGCATGTTTAGCTGTTTTAGTAATAATGTACAATATATTTCAAGCGTACTATTCTTTTATCGGTCTCCAAGATTTGTGGCTATATGTGTAGTCGTATCGATGAGTATGTTCGATTACTTACTGTGAGAACGTTTATAAGCCATTGGTTGTCCAATTCATATCGATTTGATTTATATAAAGAAATAAATATGTACGTAAACATACAATACGTATGTACGTACGACTTTTGAAGCACCATGTGTGATATCTTTGATGATTGTGTGATTTGTGTTTTATCGGAAACAATTTAAACACGAAAACAACACTTATGTTCGATGCCAAGACGGAAATCGAATATATCGATGTACTTAGCAATATAATGACGCGATCGCATTAAGTCACTTGAAAAAAAAAAATGCACTAAAACTTCGAATTATAAGATAAGTGCGACGGACGACTTACACTGATTAATAGTATTGATAATTTTGCATGTTTTCAACTATAGGAATATTAAGGTGTGCTCTTGGTGCACGAACAATAGTGTTTTATATGAAACACGAGTGTAATTACCGTTCTTGTCTATCGGAAAGCAAACAAAAACGATTCCACCGAGCACAAGTGTAATTAAACAAAGTTTTGTTTGTGGAGAATATAAGTTTTTTAAGTACGTAAACGGTAAATCAAGTGTTTGTCTGTCGCTGCATTAATTTGATAGAGTAATTGACTTTTCGCAGGCACGAACCTATTGCGATTATCGACTGATACAAACCCAATTGCAAAAGCAATTAAATATTAATAATACTGCATCGTTTTGGACGTTAAAACTAGGTTAATTTTTCTGTTTAATTGACCTAATTATTTTTGTTTTAAGTGAATATCTATTACGTACGTAGCAATTACACTCATTCAGGAATTCTGAAGATTTGAGATAATACAATGTGTGCTTTACTGATTTGTATAATATTTTGTCGTATAAGAAACTAAAAGTCGATTATTAAGGTCAAGATTTGCTGTAGGTACCTGCGCTAAACGTATTATCATCACGCTGTATGTACACTATGCACTGCGGTACGAAGTGTTTTACGGCGTGGTTATTATACAAATATCAGAACTATAATCGAGTGAATAAGTCACAATATAACGTATCGTCATTATACAATGCGCTATTGTTTGAGATATGATATTTTTAAAGAAAAAATTTGAAAAAGAAACATGTTCAGTATCCGTTCTCGTTTGTCAAGGAGAATACGCCTAAAAATATCCCACGGTGAAATGCCGTCTCTTCCACATAAAACTACTTATCAAACCCTCCGTCGAATGATGTCGCCATAAAACTAATTCAGTTTGTGTGTAAGACGTGATGCATCGTGAGTGAATTATAATTAAGTGCTTTGTGTTATTTAATAGCTAATAATGTTATTTTATTGCTCCGAGTTCCTCGCATAACTTCTGGTCTAACTGTGGTGCACTTTAGTCAAACAACGATTATCGAGCGAAAATTACTCCAGTCGAAGGAAATGGAAAATATAATAAGTGATTCCGTAAGCACATCCGTTAAATAAATACTCGCGTGCGTGTAGACACCTGTAAAATTTTGTATGCTATGAATGCAAGTGCAATAATTGTGTATTTCGACCGGAAGAAACTTTTCGACATTCCTTTCATCAGCGTTAAAGTTTTGATAACCAATAAATAATAACGCGACCGTATTGTAATGCGTTTCAAGTGTGTAAAATAAATTTCGATTATAAATAATAGTCTTTTGAAATTTCAAAATCATGCCAATGGCCAATATACCCTCATAAATATTATATCGTGTATAATCGTGCAGTCAAAACGGGCGTAAAGGTATGATAAAAAGCCGGAGGGCAATTATTTGGAAACAAACAACAAGTTTGTCAACGTTGTAAAATAAATATTTTTAAACGAATACCTATGAAAATGTACAACTTAATTTATCCTGAAACGGTTTTTTTCATCTTGTACGAGAAGGTACGTGTTTATTAATAACTCATGAATGAATGGTTCATTTGTATGATGTTCATCCGGTACACGCAGAGGTGGATTTAGGTTTTTTTATGGTTATGGGCACAACAAATTTTGCCACCCCTATTACAAGAAAACAGATTACGATTTATCCCTCTAAAATATTCTAAATATAATAATTCTAACCATAATAGTAACTAAATCTACTTGAATTATCGGGCAATTATATTTTCTTGGTAACTAGCTGTTTGGCCTACCAGATCTCATAAAAATTATCAATGGATATCCATATAGTTTTAATGAAACCCTACAAACATAATTTTTCTGAACCATCATAAATAAAACCAAAATTAAATCATAATTTGAGAAATGGTAAGACGATAAAACTTTTTTTTTTTTAATTAATAGCCGTGTAAAATGGATATTGTAATAATAAATATTTTTACATAATGATTCAATAGTTAGATTTTAAAAAGTTACTATTACCAAAATATGTATATAGTCTTTAAGGTTATCATTATCAATAATTGTTTTCTAAACAATGTAGGTACGGTGACCATTGAATTGGCTCTCAAAATTAGGGTAGATATCTAATCGCGAAATGAATTGGCTCTCAATATCATTTTCAACAATTGGAACTCATAATAAAAAGTTCAAAAAGTACGCGACTTTAATTTAAATAACTTCAACTATACATTAAAATAATTTAAAATACAAATAATCCATCAAAATTTTTAGTAAAAATAAAAATAAAAATGCATACATAAAAAATATTCACTAACCTGCACTGTTTTAATATTATTTAGTATAGGTTGTATTAATATGTTGTGACCATTTAATGCATTATCGGATTAAATATAAAATAATTTCAAGACCAATCGACACTATGTCACTAAAAATATTACAGTCACGTACTTTTTCAACTTATATATTTAATGTATAGTTGAATTTTTTTTTTTTCGAACAATTTTGATAACCGATAGATTTATAAAATAAATGTGTAGGGAGCCAACTCAATGCATAAATCTTGGGAGCCAATTAAATACGTAAAAATAACGATTACCTGAGTTAGGGAGCCAATTCAATAGCTCTGGTAGGTACATGGGATTTGTGAATTATTTTTACGTATAATGGAATAAAACACAATGAATAAAAAAATAAGTTTATTCCAAGTACAACATTTATAAGGAATAAAAAAAATTGAATCATTCTTTGTAAATATTTAAATAAATCATTTTTTAAATTTTTTATACGAATAAAATAATTTAAAAAAACCTTTCAATATTAGCCATTCCAGGCAGCTGTATACTCTGCCTATTAGAAAATCCACCTCTACGTACAAGTATTAAATGTAGTTTATAATTTCATCTATAATATCATATTACAATTTAAATTCACCTAAATGTATTTATCATTATAACAAATCTTGTGAAGTATGATCTTAAAAATTGCCTTTGGCTTGTAATTACCATATTATTATATTTTTTCTTTTTTATTTTTTTTATTTTTTATTATTATTATTTTTTTTTTTTTTTTTTATTTAAATTTAAATAAAAATACAATAATAAACAATTAAAATATAAGTAAATACATTAAAACAAAAATTAAGTATAAAAAATACAGAGTTTAAAATAGAATAAATCGATACAAAATTAGTGCATTGAATTATTATAGTATCATTTTAAACAATTTATCACTTCGTGAGAAATATGAAAAAAAAAATCAAAATTTTCAAGTTCATTACCTAATGATAACAATCGATGTGAAAAGACAGTAATTACGTTTGATTATAGGAACATGGATTGTATAAGTGGTTCTTAATGAGAATTATTGGAATTTTAAAGAAATTAAGGATAATATTTCAGGACAATCAATATTAGAATTCGTCAATTCATATAACCAGCTTAAATTATTTAATTGTCTTCTAAATTTTAGCGTTTCAATGTTAAAATCTGTTAGAGATTTTAGCGTTTGATCAACTTTATTTGTTTTATAAGCTAACATACGCATGAAACGATTTTAAATTCGTTCTAATTTTTTTATTAGATAATCTTGGTGTGGGTTACAAATTATTGATCAATATTATAGAGTTGAACGAACAAGGGAAATATATAAGACACGTAAACACATGGGGTCATTGGACTTCCAATAATTTCGGTTTAAAAATCCAAATACACATACAGCGTTATTAGAAATTAAATGTATACGTTCTGTAAATGAAAAATCACTGAATAATGTAATGCCTAAATCTTTTATTCAATATTTAATATTCAGTTTTCTATCGTTTAATTGATATTGTAAATTTAAGTTTTGCTTATTTCTTGTAAACGTTATCTGGAAGCATTTATCCGTGTTCAGATTAAGATCATTGTTTATACACTATAAATTGAGTTTATTAAGATCATATTGTAATTTATTGGAGTCTTATGAAGTTAATATAGGCATATACATTTTTAAGTCATCAGCAAATAATGAAAATTTACAATAACGAAATATATGATTAATATCGTTCATAAACAGCATAAATAATAAAGGCGATAAATGACCACACTCTGGTACCCCAGAAGTTACGTTTATAATTGATGAAAATTATTTTCTTATTTTAACTTGTTGGGTTCGATTGAATGAATAAGATTTAAACCAAGAAAGGATTGGATCTTTAACTCCCAAAACTTTTAGTTTATTGATTAAAATATTTATATTAACAGTGTAAAATACCTTCTTAATATCAGTGTAGACTGTGAATCGACTTGAATGCCATTACATATTGTACGTACTAGATCAGAGTAATAAACCAATAAACATTTGTTAACGTAGATTTCGATTTACGGAAACCATGTTGATTATTTATTATAAGATTATATCGTATAATATAATTATATGATTATATCATCACTTGAAATTATTTTAAGTCTTAAAGTATTAAGTAACACGTACGCACCATGATTACACTTCGAAGGATTATCTGAAATCCTCAAATTAATAATGCCATTTATTATATAGTTAAGGTTCTGTATGTGTGAACTCACAGACTAGTATGATAAAATATGTAAATGTATTTTAATGTACAATTCTTAGATCCACATAGAATTATATTGTGCCAATCGGTTTTTGGACACTGGAAAGTAACCTTTCAAGCATGATGAAAACTATCGGCACATTTACATAATATCTATTCGGAACACAAGTATAGTACATATACG